CGGTGACACAACTCGCAACTATGGTTACATTTATTTGGAATGGTTTTAACTTGGAAGAGTTCGACGTGTAAATTGTCAGCTGTTATAACCTCTAAATTTGTGGGTTGTTTTTATGAGCTGGCTTGGTAATGAGGAATGTATCGAGTTCTCATTCTGAGGGTTGTTGCAGTTAAAAGCCTGGAAATTAAAGACAGGGTGTCGGGTGAAAAAAAATTTTCTACCACATTTAATAATAATTCTGGGGGTTGGTGGTTGTGCCCTAGATGTGTATCTATTGCTTGGATAACTATTATTAGTGTGCGTCCCTAAATGTTGGTTTCTCTTATTATCAGTCTTAAAACTTGGAGAGGCTAGAGGTACATCAAATGATATTAGAATGGTGAACCTGTTTATCATAACTGGTAGAGTCGTAAGGTGGTTTGAATCCTATTCGCTTTTTTATTTGGGGCCTAAAGTTTAATCCGTCCACTCTTCCTTGTTACAGTTGAGGAGTTTCTTGACGTACTATAGGCGTTTCTTGAGAGGCATTCAAGTTTTTTCGGGTCCTCTCATGTTTTAAAATGATTAGTGTTAATTGGATTTGTTTTGTTTTGTGGCACATAATCAAGCAGTTTAACGTTCGAACAACCTGGATTAGAAAGGCAGGTGTTGTTAGATTTCTCGATGGTAATCTGGATTCGTGTTTTACTTAAAGAATAAGAGTCCACTGATTTATCAGTACAAATGTCAAGACAGGTCTTCTGCATGGAGCGGAAACTTTAAGAAGTAGGAAAGCCACCAGCCATAAAAATTAGGTATACATTAACAGTAGTCTGGGAAAAATACTTCGGTTTCAATGGCCGGAACCATAAGCAACGACCTACTGCGGCACAGAACAAACCAGATTCCAGCGGAGGTGGGAATCAGAAAGAATCACTGTAAGTGGAAAGAACACATTGCGGAAAGCACCCAACTCTCTCACAAGACTGGCCCTCACCTGGAACCCTCAAAGTAAAAGGAAAAGAGGAAGGACAAATAACACATAACACCGAGAAGTAAAGATAGACATCAGAAGAATGAACGAACACTGTACAAAACTGGAAAAGGAAGCTCAGGAAATAGTAGGTTGAAGAATTCCGTTCGGCGGCCCATGCTGCCAAGGTGACCATAATTAGTGCAGTCGAGCGCCTAAACTAACACTAGCTGTACACGACCAACCCCCCGGAAATACACTGAAAGAACAAGAATCGAGAACAGAGCTGGTTATATATTGGCTCGTTAAAAAAATATTGGATATTGAAAAGTCAAAAATATTGGATATCGAACGGCTAAGATTTGCTTCGCACTTCCAAATGTGCGTTACACGCGTGTTACATTACATTGTCGTGTCTTGAACAATTTCTTTAAATTAACATCATTTTAGAACGGTAAATAAAACTAACGACAACTGTACATTATATTAGGCTGCATGATCATGTCGAGAAAATTGGCGAAAGTCGATAAACTTGACGCAGAAGAAGAAACTATGAACATTGATTTAGAGGGATTTCTTCCAGATATTGGTGATCGCGACAGCGTTAAAATTTTGTTGAAACATCTTTTCCCAAGCAGCTCAGCTATCAATGTAGGAAATCTCACTGAATTTATTGTATCACAAAATGCAATCGGCACTGTAGTTAAACCTGCATGTGTTGAAGATGGTGAGAGTGATGATGATAGTGACGATGATAACATTGTTTTTGCTGTGACCAGTGTAGTAGATTTTAGCCATGAATCATCTGAGAAACACTCCATTGTCAAAGATCTTCGGAACTTCATCCTCAAAGAAGTTCGACGTTCGAAAAACATTCTGACGAAAGACAAAGTTGAAGAGCTTCTTACGAAGGATGTGAACTGCAAGCCATTTCTGCTTATTAATGAACGGTTTGAAAACTTACCGCTTTCTGTTTGTGCTGAAGCTGTTTCTTCTTTACCATCGGAATTTAAATCTTCCAACTTATGTCCTACACATCTTTTGCTTCTGTCATGGGCGTATTCAGAAGAAGCTGGAGACATTAATAAGAAATATGAATACGCATATCCCGAAATGGAATTTATTGTTCCTCATGCATTGCATGTGTTGGAGTTAGATCTTAAAAGCCTTACTTCTCATGGTGCAAAAGAGAAACAAAGTGGCGATAGTGATAACGAAGAAACAAATGACTTTAATACTCTGTTATTGATAGTTATTCCAATGGACAAATTTCATGATATTTTAACTTCCTTGACTAGTCACGTGTAAATATGCTGAGATTGCAACTGTTGTTACTATTTTTATATATATGTATCATATTGCACCTTTTCAGCTAAAATAAACGTTTACTTCCGTTTCAGATTCTTCATAGAATGGCTGATTGAGGAAATACGTACGGGTGACTATTGTGTATGTTTTCTTTAGCTTTAAGTGGTCCGGTATCCATGAGATCTTGTGTCACTTATTTTCCTTCACTCAGAAAGTACCTAGTACAAGCAGAAATTAATTTAAACTGTTTGATCTTCTACACTTAGTTCTCTCAGAAATGTGATCTAACTTATCAACAGTAAGAATTGTCCAAATGGCTTCTAAGGCCTTTTAGTTCATGTTTTTTAGAGTTAAATACTTCCTCAAGATTATGTTTTAGTTTGCAATTCATTTTTCACATCGATGTAAACATTATTCAGCATATCTTTGTTGATAGTCACTAGATGAATAGACTGCAGAACCATCTTCCTACCAGCATTCTTGGTATCAGTTTCTATCCAGGTTTTGTAGATTTTTGACCTATTCTGGAGTAGAAAAGAAAAAGAGTTAGTAGTAGATCTAAGCTTGGCATCAGTGGACCTACATTTATATCTGTCAAGTCACCGACATATAAATAGGCTTATCGCAAAGCAAATTTGTAAAAAGTATCATCAAAACTTATTAAATAGCTACGAAATAAAATTAGTGTTATGTTATCATTTGAATTTAGGATTTTTTGGTAATACTAGAACCCCATCTATTTCACGTTTTATAATCATAAAGCGAAATATACGCCTTCAAAACATGTAAGAGAATAATATCAACGAGTCACTTTTTATTAATACTATGATGTGGTTAAAAATTATATATATTTTAATATAGATTGACTGATAAACAAAAAGAAGCAAATAAGTCGAATTATCTTAAAGACATCTACTGCTGACCAGGCTTTAAAAACTGCAATATGAAAGGTAATTTAGATGGGTAATTTGATAAATATATAGGGCATAGTAAATCAACACAAAAAGTATTAAATTCGTATATCCAACGTGAACAAATGAGCTATATGTATGATTTAAAAATGAAAGGGTTAAGTTGAAAGAGAATCTATGAATGCTTGATGTAATAGAGACTTGCAGTTTTCTGGATCGAGGCTCCTGGTTTTATGTTCGGTATGCTGTAACTGCGAAGCCCTCGCTGCTATTTCGGACCACGTCATCAGGGCTTACTTAGCCTCAGAACTTCGGCGTCTCTCTGACTTGATGTGTTTGTGTGTAACGCAGACAGAAATCCAGAGAATGTAAGGAAGGGCTTGGTTGATATAAAGCTTTTGGAATAATTAATTTACTTAGTTGCTTAGTGCGCTCTGACGATGTTGCTTAGGAAGATAGCGAAATCTTCATAACTAAACCATGGAGCTCAGAAAGTATAATCAGTTCTGCCATGTCATGAATGACACTTCAGCTACGAAGCTCATTATTTTGGACTAGATGTTACATATTTTTGACTAATGATCAAGCCAGCAAAATGCAGACTCTTAAAATTGTGAATAGTAATACAAGTGTTTGAAATATTTAATAAATGACTTACTTTGACAATTGTAAGTGAAGTAGATAAACGTGTCATCCACTTATTTCATTCTTGTCACGTCTGGTCCCGACCGTAGCTGCTACATTGACGTGGTGGTCGGGCTTGACTATCGTGATGACCCAGCCGAGCTATACCTGCTCGAACCTATGTTCCTGGAGGTTCTACCATGCCAGGCAGGTCGATTGGAGAATGGTGAGACTAAAAGCAGCTACCCATGTCTGAGGGCGAAGTCGTACTTCTGACTGCAGAGGGGTGTGACAGCAGTAAGGTGTTTCCCTCGGACAACCAGCATCTGCAGCGATGCTGCCTTCTCACAAGGAAGGAAGGGTTAGAAAAGGTCGACCCTAAAAATGTCACACCTCACCTTACCTCATGGATTTCCGTCTCCGGCGGTAAGGGTGCCCACTAAGGGCTTTCAAGAGCGGAGCTAATACTCAAAAAACCTTTCATAAAAAGGCCGTGCGTGACCGGCCTCAAGCAGTTGTCCCTTGGGCTCTGCGGTCACGCACCCAGGTCTCTATTTTCCTTTTCAGGTTCCTCTAGAAACAACCTTCCACGGTGTGGGCAGCCGGGAAGTGATAACCGCCCTCATACCCGTAACATTACACAAGACCAAATTGGTCAAAATGAAATCCTTCCTACACCCACACATACCCGTCTTATCTCCACGACTAACTCTTCTCAAATTCATTTATCACAGTGCACAGCTCATGCAGACCGAGCGAGTTCGCGAAACATCGTTCTTGGTCTCCTTAAACCTCGCTCTGGACTACATGTTGGAGCATTTAATGTACGGACATTGTATCAAATAGGGCAACAGGCTTCCTTAGCTAGGACTCTAGAATCTCGTGCCATCGATGTATGCTGCGTCTCGGAAATGCGCATACAGGATCCGAGTAGCATCATTCACTTGGCCTCACGATGTCAAGATAAAGAAGCAACTCGATTTACTCTTCGTGTATCCAGCAGCCCTGATGCTGCTTCCAGGGGTCCCGCTGGTGTATGTATAGTATTGAGTCGTAGCGCAGAACTAGCGCTCATAGACTGGATCCCTGTAGATAGTCGCTTGTGCGCGGTCCGACTAAACGGGACAGTAAAGATTTGGAAGGATAGGATCACTCGTCGTTGCCTCTCCGTCGTATCTGCCTATGCCCCCGCTGACTGCAGTTCAGACGAGGTTAAAGACGAGTTCTACAGAAAGCTTTCGGACCTGCTCCAAAAAGTTAGGCACTCTGATATAGTAACAATGTCTGGTGACTTTAATGCTCAAGTAGGTAGACTAAGGGAAAATGAAAGACACCTGGGTGGATGCTATTGTGTTGTGACTCAGAGAACAGACAACGGTGACCGTCTGTTGCAACTGTGCTCAGATAACTGCCTACTCTTAGCAAACACTAACTTTAGGCATAAGGAAAAGTATCTCTTGACCTGGCAACCCCCAAAGTTGTCTAAACATTGGACCCAAGTAGATCACATCGCCATCAGCCACCGATGGAGAGATTCGATAGAGGACTACCGCTCGTTCTGGGGCACAAGTTTAGATTCAGATCGTGCCCTAGTACGAGCGCGTATCTGTTTGAGGCTTACTGGACGTAGGAAAGACACCGTAAGGAGGCCTCTTAGGGTTTTACCTAATGATAATAAAGCTACGACAGGTCCTGGAACACAGACGCACATTTAGGCATCCTACAATAGTTGTCTTCCTGGACCTAAAAGCGGCATTTGACTCAGTGGATCGTGAGTTTCTGTGGCAGTGTCTGTCATCGAAAGGTGTACCAAAGAAGTACATTAACCTCATACAAGCTCTTTACTCGAACACCACTGGTCGAGTGAGAGCTTATGGCGAACTGTCACTGGAATTCTCTACATCAAGTGGTGTCTGTCAGGGATGTCCACTCTCTCAATTTTTGTTTAATTCTATCATAGACATGCTCCTAGTAATAACCTTATCCTCGTCTGAATTTTCAGGAGTAGACCTTTTACCAGGTGGCTCGCTTATTGACTTAGAATATGCCGATGACATAGTCCTACTTGGTGAAGACGCTGACAAAATGCAGAGTCCTCTGACCATACTAAGCAACAATGCAAGCATGTTCGGGATGCGGTTTCCCCTCTCGAAATGCAAAATGTTGCTTCAAGTTTGGGTTTCATCGGCACCTGAACTAGTGATAGGGAGTGAAGTAGTCGAGCGAGTAGACCGCTCCACTTATCTGGGGAGTCTCATCACTGCTGATGGCCTGGTTTGTGACGAAATCTCAGCACGGATACAGAAGGCTCGATTGGCTTTTGCCAACCTGCGTCACTTATGGCGCAGGCGAGATATCCGTCCGCTGACTAAAGGACGAGTGTACTGCGCAGTAATTCGCTCCGTCTTAATTTATGGCCGTGAAACATGGCCAGTGAGAGTAGAAGATATTCGTAAGTTACTGGTTTTCGATCATAGGTGTCTTCGAAGCATTGCTCCAGTATCGTGGGACTTCCGAGTAAGCTATGCTGTTATTAGGAAACGAGTACTAGGTAAGAATGGCAGATCAATAGATGAAGTAATGAAACTTCATCAGTTGAGGTGGTTGGGACATGTGTTGCGTATGCCTAACCACCGACTGCCTCGACGAGCTTTGTTTTGTAGTGTAGGAGTAGGTTGGAAGAAAGTTAGGGGCGGCCAAACCAAAACATGGCAGAAATCCATGAAGTCATTGACGAGTGGACTTAGCCATGTCGGTAGGTGTCTACTACCTGGTTGGGGTCCGCGAGATGATAATAATCGATGGTTAGAGACCCTGAATGATATGGCTCAAAATCGTTCGCAATTGTGCCGGTGCATTTATTCTTTGTGTTCTCTCAACTCCTTATCTTCTGGATTCTTCAACCCCTCTAGTTTTGACTTTCTAAACTTTTCTCATTTAATCATACTTCTTGAATAATATCTTCTAATCCTAACCTCTCCGATTACTTCTAACACCTTTACTACCTCTTCTACTATTGGATTTGAGTTGACAATTACATCTCTGTGCTGATGTGGTATGGCAACATGGACTGATGTACTTACGTACGAAGTTCTACGTTGCATCTGACTGACTGCCTGGATATCTCCCAAATTCAATTCAGATCTTTCTAGTGGTTTCCATTATAGGTTTTGTGTTTATATGAGAAAGAATTTGCTAATACCTCACTGTATTCGCAGAATTCGTGATGAAACAAATCAACGATTTTATTTAGCTATAACACAATAAACATTTTCAAAGTGTCTGAAACACTCCATGAATAAGTATGCTTTTCTTAAATACAATTCATTATTGTTAATAATCATCAAAAAGTTTTAAATTTAACACCAAGTTATCGTATTTCTTAGGGTGGCTTTCATGAACCGGCATGCAACGGTGTTAATGTCCAATTTTAATCAATATTCAGTATTGCACTACTTCATCCAT